TATATATATATATATATATATTGTATACCTTTAGCATTGAATTCATTTCTTTGTGCCTCTAATCTTTGTTTATTTTGTGTTTTTTCTGCAATTGTTCTCTCTAATTGTTCAACTTTTGCCTCTAAATAACGACGTAATGCCTCGCCACATTCGGCACTATTCTCCTCCTCTTCTTGCTGCTGCTGCTGCTGCTGCTGCTGCTGTTGCTGCTGATGCTCCTGATGCTTATTTATATCCTCATTAGCAGCTCCTGCTGCTGATGCCGCCCCTACAGGCTGCATTGCCACGTCAACACTCATTCTTTATTATTAAAGAAACAAACAACCCCTGCTGCTGCTGCTGCTGCTGCTGCTGCTGTATGTATCTCTCCTTTCCTCTATGGTATTATTATTATATATTGCATGCAGACCCAATGCATGCATGCAATAAGAGAATATATAATAAATGATTCTGCTGTAAGAAAGAAAAGAATTGTGCTGCATGCATGCAGCTGATGAGTGACGGTCAATATATAATATAAATAAAAGAGTGTAGCTGTAGTAGACGGACGACGTCTATATAAGGATAAATAAGCTGCCTGTACACCCGAAATAAGAATAAGAAAAAAAAGAAAGAAAAAGAAGGAAATAAATTGTTGAGATAAGTAGCGGAGAAGACGCGAGATCCTTTAATGCTGCACAGGACAAAGTGCAAAAAAAAAAGAAAAAAGAAATACCTCTAGATAATCTGTTGACTGTATTGTGTTGCTGTTGCTATAAGGAGAAAAGAAAGCAAAGAAAAAAAGAAGAAAGGAATGATCAATATATATATTTATAAGCTGCTGCTGCTGCTATTGGTTGCTTACTTACTCACACAATAAAAAGAAGAGCCCCCTGTATATAATATATATGTGCTGACGATGGATGTATGTTTATTGTATATATTTCCCTTCTTTTAATTCAATTATTGAATAGAAGAACCATTTATAAAGAGAATATTCAACTTTTATACAGATCTTATACACTGGGGAGCCCCAGCTCATACATATATTATTTGCATGTATTCAGCTCTGATGGCTACTGGCTGCTGCGGTGTATTGACACCTTGTGGTAAGCAGTATATATAGGCTACCGTGAGCTGATGCGCTGCCGTCTTTGGATGCTTATATAGGGTATATTTGCAGAAAAATAATAATAAAAAAGAAGAAATATTAATTCTTTTAAAGATTACCTAATTTTAGATATATAAGGCAATAATATTGCTTCCTTTTTTGTATGTCTTTGTGCATTGCATTATATATAACCATATATACATATACAACTTTGCATGGCAGCAGCCGAATCGTTGTGACACAGACGAGAGAGGAAGAGAGGGCTCAATTGCGAGGTAATTTATGAATAAAATTGAATTTCTTTTGAATAAATAGAATTGTATTCTTCTTTTCTTTCTATTTTTCTGCGAGATCGCAAGCATGACGCAGCTCGTCTCGCATTTCGATACCTTTCATACCGGCCCCCTTCATGCCGTTTCCTTCGACTTGTATGGCACTAAAGTTGCAACAGCAAGCACAGATGAATCTATTCGTCTATGGGATGTATCAGCAGAATCAGGAGGAGCTCAATTCATACAAGAACTCCGTGGTCATAACGGCCCTGTATGGCAGGTAAGGAAGGATACACCCTCTCTCTCTTACTTTCTTACTCTCTTTCTCTTTCTCTCTTCTTTGTTGTTCTCTTATGTTTAGTCCTTTAAGACAGGAACATCCATGAACCTGTGTTACTGCATGCATCTACTGTATTTCCTTTCCTCCTCCTTATTCTTGTATGTATGCATTTCTTTCCCTATACAGCACATAATGACTCATGACGATGGATGAATAGATCTATCTACATAAATATATTGTATATATATCTCTCTTTGTCGTTATATTTCCTGTTTTCTCCCCTACATATTATATGCATGCATACAGTGTATGCATGCATATTTCCCTCTCTATGCATATATATGCATGCATATGTATGTATACATATATGTATAAACACGTATTTTTTTGTATATTTTTTGTATTTCTTTTTTTTTTACGTTATTTCTTATTATATTTGTTTAGGTTTGTTGGGCTCATCCCCGTTTTGGTCAATTATTAGGTTCTTGTGGCTATGATCGTCGTATAGTTGTATGGGAAAAACAAGAAAGAGAACAACAATTTACTGCGGTGTATTCAAATGATGAGCATGCATCATCTGTCAATACACTCCAATTTGCACCAGAGGCAGCAGGACTTATATTAGCAGCAGGAAGTAGTGATGGATCTATATCTATATTAATACAACAACAAGAAACAGGATCTAATCATCATTGGACACGTCAGGCTTTTCCTGCACATTTTAATGGAGTACTTGCACTCTCTTGGGGGCCCCTAGGAGGGGGCCCCCTTAATACCTCCTCAGTAGATGGCAGGACTAGTGGATTGCTGCTGGCATCAGGAGGTGCAGATAATCGTGTACGTCTATGGGAATGTGATGCATCTAAGGTAAGATATATTTTCTCCTGCTGCTGCTGCTGCTGCTGCTGCTGCTGCTCGCGGTGCTGCAGCAATGTGACTACTAAATAGGTCTGTGTTGTCTAGGTCATCATGAATACCTTTCTGCATGCATTGCATGCATGCATGTGCATATATATGTATATGTATATGTATATATATGTATATATATGTATAATACATATATATGTACTTTTTGCTGCTGCTGTTGCTGCTGTTGCTGCTGTTGCTGCTGCAGCAATGGACGGAGTTACCTGCATTGGCAGGAGAGCATCATACAGATTGGGTAAGAGATGTATCCTTTAGACCCCAAGGCGCATCTTCTTTTGTTGTCCCTGGTGCCCTGTTGCTTGCCTCCTGTAGCGAGGACAAGACTGTTAAATTATGGATAGGAGAGCCACCCCAGCAGCAGCAGCATCAGCAGCAGCAGCAGCAACTGCAGCAGCAGCAGCAGCAGCAGGATATTCTTATGAATAATCCATCACCATCACAATATAAATGGAGATTATTGCAGACACTTGTCCTTGATGCTCCTGCATGGAGAGTTACATGGAGCAGCAGTGGGGCTTTATTAGCTGTTGCATGCGGAGATTCTGCTGTGCTGCTGCTGAGGGAGAATATGCATGGTACATGGGAGTTGGTAACAGATTTAGCAGAGAAAGCACAACTGCAGCAGCAGCAGCAGCAACAGCAGCAGCAGCAACAACAACAGCAGCAGCAGCAACAGCAGCAGCAACGGATGATGCAACAGCAGCAAATGCCACAATTCCAGCAACAGACACCGCAAATGCAGCAAATGAATATGCAGCAGCAGCAACAACCACAGCAGCAACAAATGATGCAGCAGCAACATCCAATGATGCAGCAACAGCAGCCGATGCGTCAGCAGCAACCTCTACAGCAGCAGCAGCAGCAGCCGCAGCAGGCTCCTCCTCTGCCGCATGCTTTCGGCTCTGCCCCACCACCACCACAGCAGCAGCAGCCGCAGCAGCAAACACCACAGCTAGGCCCTATGGGTGTCATGCCACCTGTTGGGGCCCCTGCTCCTCCCGTGGGTATGGGGGCCCCCCTTGGTGGCAGCAACGCAATGGGAGGTGTGAGGCCTCCTACAATGATGCCAGCAGCAGCAACTGGACTGCAGCAGCAGCAGCAGCCTGGAGGGGTACAACCGCCGCCTATGCAGCCGCAGCAGCAGCAGCCTCCCGCTGCAGGCAGTGGTTTTATGCCCCCAACCTCGCTGCAGCAGCCACCGCAGCAGCAGCAGCAGCAACCAGGAGGTCGTCTGTCTATGCCTCCTCCCCCTACTGGTGTCTTAGGGGGTGCATCTGCTGCTCCACCTGCTGCTGCTCCTCCTCCTGCTGCTCCTGCAGCATCTCCTGGGGCCCCACAGCCCTTCCTTTCCTCTACAGCCCCGCCTCCACTACCCCGACCTGCAGGAGGCTTTGGGGCCCCCCCTCCTATGCAGCAACAGGGTACAGCTTTTATGCCTCAAGGGGCCCCTCCCATGAGGGGCCCCATGCCACCTCCTATGGGTTCCGCAGGGTACTAAAGTGTCAGATGCTCGGCATGAGGTTGCTGTTGCTGCTGCAGTGTCTGTGGAGACATTGGGGCTTGTTTTTGCTGCTAAGTACGGCAGCAGAAACAGCAGCAGCAACAGCAGCAACAACAGCAGCAGCAGCCTCCTTAGAGAGGAGACGATAAGTTAAGAAGAAAGAGACAATGTAAGGGAGAGAGAGATAATAAAAGAGGAGACACAGAGAAAATAAACAACAAGGAAGGAATAACAGACAATATAAGAATAAATAAGTAAATAAATAAATAAATAGGGGAGGTGTATACACAAGAACACTGTGTGTGTTCTTTACTATCGTCATCTATGCGTGTGTACGTACACCGCAATTGCAGTCTACACAAAGACCCACAAAGAATGCATGCATGCATGCATGCATGCATGTATGCATGCAGCAGCAAGAGTTGCATGCATGCATGCATGCATATATCCATGCATGCACAATTCTTGAACAGATTTTAGTTTGCAGGGCAGCATGGAGATGCATGCAGGCCCAACTGCACGCATGCAGCAGCAACTGCATGCATGCATAAACCTTCGCATGTGCGAGTTTGGGGCTGCATGCGCTGAACACAGCCCCAAGTCTCTGCTTATGTCTTGTTTATATATGCTTCTCGTTTATTTAGAAGCAGCAGCACCAAGCAGCAGCAGCAGCAGCAACAGCAGCAAACAGCAGCAAGAGGTCTCCTCCCTCCCTGTCTATACAAACAAATACTTGTATACGACCAAGCAGCAGCAGCAGCAGCAGCACTAGCAGGAGCAGCAGCAGTAGCGCTAGCAGCAGTGGTAGTAGTAGTAGCAGCAGTCGTAGTGGCAGCAATAGCAGCAAGAGGAGCAGCAGGAATAGCAACAAGAGGAGCAGCAGCAGCAGCAGGAGGGCAAAAGAAGAAGAGAGGCATTAATAACGTAAATAATAATAAAGTTAAGAGGCAGCCAAGCGACAAATCACAACGGAGGAGGAGGCAGCCAACTCTAAACCCTAAACCCTAAACCCTAAACCCTAAACCCTAGCAGCCCATAAAAAAAAAAAAAGGGCATGCAGGGAGTTGCATGCGTTCTACAGCAAAGTTTTTTCTATAGTATTTAATAATCTACATATATACATATTATACTACAGACATAATATATTATTTATATATATATAATATATACATTATATATTATATATATATATATATTATTATATATAATATATATATAATATATAT